AAGATTTACCCGATCCACGTGCATGGGGCAATTTGCATGGGTTCCGGAATTAGTCGAGATATGCATAAATTAACCCGGACATCTAGTCATAAAAAAAAATGTATAAAAATTAAATTTAAATATTTAATAATAATTTTCGCATAAAAAATTGAAATTTTTTTCTTAAAATTCTATAAAATTATTTTTAAAATATACCTTATTTAAAATTATTGCTTTAAGTCTCAAATTATATTGAGTCTGCCTTGAGAAGACTAATTGGGCCTAAAATTTTGAGTAGTCTACTATCTCTTTTGATAATTGCAGCAAGCTTATCTCCTAGATTAATTTCAATAGGACATTGATAGTAAGTTGAAAATCGTGTAAGTAAAAATCGAGATCATTTATTTTGAGATTTGAGAAATGATATTAAATGATAAAAATGAATATCTGGAGATTTCAACATATAAAACTAAAAGTACCTATTCAGTTATAAAACACATTTGAACACAAGAGGAAGGTAAATGTTTGAGATTCTTAATAAAATCTTCACAATAATATAAAATGATAGGTGTCAACTTTTTATTTATGTGCCACTCCACTTCTTTGTCACGTTATTGGGGGTGTATTGGAATCTCAATCGCGAGTCGTTAGCATTATTGCAAGAAAAATACATGGCGCACCGGCCAACAATAGCACAAAGTAAAGCTCATCGCTTTTGTTTCTCTTTACTTGTGGCCTTGCAATTCTGCTTACAATGTTCAAGAAGCCAGTTGCTCATTTTGTTTCTTCACTCTCAAAGATCAGTTTTTCAATTTTTTTTTTTTTGGGTTTCAACATCATTAACCCATTTCAAGTCAAGGTTCTTTGTCATCACCAGTTGTCTTGCCAAAAATCCCAGTTTGTTGGCTTCTGATCCCAAAGAAGTCACCTTCTTTTCCTGGAAACCAGTTGTTTCTTTCAAAAAATTTCCCCTTAATGCTCAATATCTAGTTCTTGATGTTTGGGACTCATGTCTCTCCAAATCTCAAGAGCAGCTGCGGTAAATGGCTGCAAGGTGTTTGATGAATTGCCACAGCAAACTACCACCACCGCAACCCAGTCATTGATTTCTGGTATTTGGCTTGGTTTATTTATTTCTTTGTTTTTGTTTGTTTTGGGTTTGATTTTTGAGTTTGTGGATTGAGTGGGGAGAATGGGGTGGCAGTGGAGGTGTGATGAGGGTAGTGGTTGTTGGCTACAAGGTGTTTAATGAATTCATCTTTTAATGCTTTTATCTTTTTAATTTTTCATCTAATTCAAATTTAGTGAAGAATTTGATGACTTATTAATTTGATAAAAATAAATAAATAAATAAATAAATAAACTCTTACTTGATTTGATGAAATGATTGGACAAAATTTTTTAACATGTTTTTATCAATTTTTTTATGAAAGAAAAAGCGAAAGATTGAAAATATTCTAACATAGTTAACTTTTGAGGCCATAAGAAGAATCAGTGAACCCCAAGGGGTTGGTGTTGGCCTGGTGCCTAGGTGTCATCTCTCTATGGTCTCAAGTTCGAAACTTTGTATATGTAGTGAAGAAGAAGAAGATGATGATGATGATGATGATGAAGTTGTAGAGGATGGTTGGAGGTGGTGAAGTTACAAAGGAGGGTGAGGGGCTTAGTAGCAGGAATCGTCTCAGATGGCGACGACTCCGAGGAAAAAGCGCGATTTTGCGCTTCTGAGGAAGGATCGCATCAGAATCGCGAATCTGAGGAGAGGGAAACGCGAATCTGATGCGGGAAGGGAGCACTATTGAGAGGGCAAAGAGAGTACCTGGTCGCTGGCTTCGATCCTCCGTTCGACGACTTCGATCTCGCCGTTTGACTTCCCCGTCGAAGCCCTAGTCTTCGTCCCTCTCTTCGAAGCCCTAGGTCTTCGTCTCTCTCTCTCTCTCTCTCGCTTCTCTCACCCTCGATCTCCTCTTCGTCTCTGTTGCGTCTCTGCTTCTCCCTCTCTCGATCTATGTTGCGTCTCTTCTTCTCCCTCTCTTTCTTCGTCTCTGTTCTCTCTGTCTCTCTCTCTTTCTTTCCCTCTTCGATTTCATTATTTTGTATAACATAATTTATCATATATAATATAATATATATAATATAATTTATAATTTATAAATTATAAATTATATTATATATATTATATTATATATGATAAATTATGTTATACAAAATAATGAAATCGAAGAGGGAAAGAAAGAGAGAGAGACAGAGAGAACAGAGACGAAGAAAGAGAGGGAGAAGAAGAGACGCAACATAGATCGAGAGAGGGAGAAGCAGAGACGCAACAGAGACGAAGAGGAGATCGAGGGTGAGAGAAGCGAGAGAGAGAGAGAGAGAGATTAACATAATTTATTATTCATTATAATAAATAAAATATAATTAATAAAAATAATGCATAAGCGCTCCTAATTTACGACTCCTCTAAATGGCCACGTTCCCCCGCTCCCGCTCCCGCTCCCGCCCCCGCCCCCGCTCCCGCTTCGTGCAACTAAGGTGACGGGTTGTCGTTGATGGCAGTGACAGCAACGATGATGAGGGTGGGGCCTGATGAGAGAAGTCGAGAAGGGGTTGCCGAAGTTGGGTTGCTAGCGGGAGCAATGTGATTGGTTAGGGTTAGGGTTTTGGCCATTGTGGTCATTTGGCTAGGGAGCAAAATTGTATTAAAAAAAATTAGAAAAATGGGGTGTTCAATCAAAATATTGGAGAAATTCTATTTCCACACTCTTTTATCTCTATGCACATCATATCTCAGTTCACACACTTAATGAATTTGAAAAAAAATATTTTACTCAGTACACAACTCATTATATCAGAAATGTCGTCTTCTTCATCCTTCCAAAACTATCCCTAGTCTCTAACCCTAACTAGCCACTGTCACCACCTTCATCCTAGCCATCGCCGCTCGCCGTCGTAGCCCATCACTGTCACCTCGTCCTCCTCCTTTGATGAATCTCCTCCTCACTCTACCTACCTCACTCCTAAATCCTTTTCTACCTCTTTCGTCCTTTCACTACCGACGCCACCACCTCCCCGCCATCGCTGCTGTAACCTTCCATCATATCTCCTTCTTCTTTGTCTTATTTTCTTCTCTAAAAATCCTATATCTAGGGTTTGCGCCGTTCTTCCTCTCTAGCCGACATTATTCTTCATCGAGTTGTAGAAGAAGAGAGAGAGAGAGAGAGAGAGAGAGAGAGAGAGAGCGCGAGAGAGAGAGAGAGGCGCGAGAGAGAGAAGAAAATAATGAGAGAGACGCGACAATGACGACGATGACGAAGAAGAAGAAGAAGAAGAAGAAGAAGAAGATAGAGTGTGTCGGGGTAACGCTAAAGATGGTGTTGGTGATGGAAGGCGCGATCGCAACGGTAGGGGCTATAGAGATGGGCCATCGCGAGGTGACAGAGATAACGGAGAATGGTTGAGGTGGTCAAGGGAGGAGGCCAGAGGTGGTGCGGCGACTAGTTAGGGTTAGAAGTTTTTGGGTGGTTCGGAAATTAGGCTCTTGGATGTGGAAGATAAAGTGTATTTTGGTATTTTTATTTTAGGATAAAAATGTAATTAAAAAAATTTCATGAAGTGTGTGGAGTGAGAGGAATTAGTGATTGGAAATGGAATTTCCCAAAATATTGGGGTGCATTTAGAGCCACCCTCTTTACAAAAAGATTATAATACCTAAACTATCCCTATAAATACAAAACAAATACAATAAAACCACACGTGTATCATCTTTTAATCGTTATCTATCCAAACAATAATGTGAGAAAACATAACCATTTATTCATGAAAAATGATATACAAGCCCACCTTCTAGACCCAATAATGTGTAAGTGATATAATTGGTTGATAATTAGAGAAGATAGGAAAGAGAGAGTTGCTTTATATATTCTAATTTGTTAGCACATCATTGGGTTTAAAAGGTGGATTTAATTTTTGGATTTGAATGGCAATGCTCTTTATTTATTTTTTAACTTAGGTGAGATACTCCGATAATTTATTTTATTTTCTCATCTCACGATCCAAATGGAGCCAAACATTGATAGTGATTTTCAGAAATAAAATAAAAAATATTCCCAATAGATTACGACAAATATGTCAATTATATAGCCCAGTTAACTCCAAAGTCGGGCATATGGTAGAGGTTGGCATCATGAACAAATTTATATTATAATTGCATGCAAATTATATCAATAGTCACTATATTTTAGTTTTTGTATCATTTTGGTTTCTCTAATTTCAATTGGATGTATTTTGACTATGAATTTTTTATTTTATCTTAATTTGGTCCAATTGATTGCAATTGTTGGCATTATTTTATAAAATTGCGCACATGAGCGGTAGGTGTCATGTTTTTAGGGACAAAATTGTAAACTTGATCAATTCAATTAGTTAACATCATCCAACTTGATGATCATTTTTAGTATAAAAACTCTAATGACTTTGTCAATTTGACCAAATTAATACAAATTCTAAAATTAAGAATCAAAATTGAGTCAATAGAAAGTTTAGATATTAAATGAAACAAGAAATAAAATACACAGACTATTAATCTAAATAACCCTATAATTTCTCTTTCAATGACATGGCACAGTTTAAAATTTACGAAAATAGCAAAAATTGATTCTTACGGCCGAATAGATCACTCCAAAGTCAGGTTGATTAGAAGGTGGTTTCATTCTGCTGCTTTTAGTTTTCAAGGTCTGAGTTTCTCAGCATAGTAGAAGCAAAGCGCTTTTGTTTTCTCTTTACTTTTGGCTTCACAATTCTACTTTCAATGTTTCCTTTTGGACCCAAAATTAAGAAGCCAGCTGCTCCTGCTTCTTCACTCTGAAAGATCTGCCTTCTTTTTTTTCTTTATCTGGATAGACACCATCGGCCCATTTCAAGATTCTCTGTCACCAATTTTGCTATGGATTCTGTCTTGAAGAAACTGAAGCAACTAATACACAGTGAGAGAACAGTTTGATTGCAAATGAGAGGCATCATCTATGGAAAATAAAGCCCTGGTCGAGGTAGAAATTATAGTGGGCTTTGACAGCAAGGCATTGGCTATAAAAGAGCAACTTGCTGGAGGGAATAAACATCTAGACTTTGTGTCAATTGTTGGGATGCCTGGACTTGGTAAGACAATTTTAGACAAAAAACTGTACAATGATCCTTATATCATTCACCACTTTCATATTCATGCATGGACCTACGTTTCTCAAGTACCCAAAAAAAGAGAAATGTTGTTGGACATTTTGCATTTTAATGTCCTTACTGATGAAGATAAAAACATGAGCAATGAAATGTTAGGCGAAATGTTGTATAAAAAATTGAAGGGAAAAAGATATCTCATCGTCATTGATGATATATGGGATATTGGTGTCTGGGTCGATCTTAAAATGTATTTACCAAATGAAAAAAATGGAAGTAGGATTATGTTTACTAGTCGACCCATGCATGCGTCACCTGATAGCCATACTCATTGTCTACGTTTTCTAACTGAAGAAGAAAGTTGGGAATTATTTCAACGAAAGGTGTTTCCCGATGAAAGTTGCCCTCCAAAACTGATTGAAACTGGAAAGCAAATAATGAACAAATGTCAAGGGCTTCCACTTGCAATTATTGTTATAGCAGGACTTCTTGCAAAGAATAAGAAGACAGAAGAGTAGGGGAAACAAGTTGCCCATAGTGTTAGTTCATGCATTGTTAGTGATCGAAACCAATACTTGCACACGCTAGGACTGAGTTACAATCACTTGCCTTGTCACTTGAAACCGTGCTTTCTTTATTTAGCAGCATTTCCAGAAAACCAAGAAATTTGGGTGTAGGGCCGGCCCTGGGGTGAGGCGACTAAGGCGGTCGCCTCGGGCCCCCAATTTTGAATAAAATTTAGGGCTCCCAATTAAGGGAGTGTATCATATTGTGTTATTTCATAATTACTTCAATACTAGCTCAATTCATTTATTATCATGTTATCGTATGGTATTATTTTGATTTGTGTCCGATTGATATTTAATGTGAAAACTTTCGCTTTTAGTTAAAATTAACTTAGAAGTGTATGGAGAGATTAAAATTTTTCCCATAAGTTGAATTTTATAAAAATTTATTTCTACTAAATGAAATTATTCATAGAATGTTTGATTTTAATTCAATTGCATTTTTCTAATTAAAAAAATTGTACCTTATTACTATATTTTTTTACTAGATTGACTTTAAAATAGGTAACAAAAAAATATATATATATATCTTAAATGAAAAAAAGATATTAGCCTTAATTATTATTTTACATACTTTTTTTTTATTCAGTTAGACGGAATTAAATAAAAGATTAAAAAATTATCATGTCTTCCTTCGCTGTGTTTGGTTGGGGGATTTGAGGATGGAATTGGAAAGGGAAAGAAAAAAGTTAGGTGAAATGTGAATAAAATATACTTACATTTCACCTAGTTTCACACACCTTTTCCCTTTCCCTTTCCAAATCCCTCCCTAAATCCTCCACCAAACACAGCATTAGTGAACATTAAAATATATAACTAATAATTCATATTATTGAGTCATGTTATACTTGGATTCATGTTGAAAAATAGTCAACCTTAACTTGCTAATTTTATATATTGCTTGAGTTGTGTAAAAAATTCGCATCCTTACTCCCAATTAATTTTAGTTCTTATAGCATTGGTAAGCTAAAAAATAAATATTGAATTCAACTAATTGAAATTCAACTATTATATATATATATATATATATATATTTGTTATCTAAATTTTGTTAAATTGTAATGCAATAGAAATAAATTTTTATCCTTTTATCTAAACAATTTTTTTTTTTTTTTAGATAATGATATATGAAGGGCACAATTTAAAAAATTCGCCTTAGGCCCCTAATAAGTCAGGGCCGCCCTGCTTAGCCTTAATTTGGTTATGGGTAGCTGAGGAATTTGTAGAAAACATTGGGCAGAGAAGCTTGGAGGAAGTAGCAGAGGATTACTTAATGGATCTAATTTAGAGAAATCTAGTAATTGTTGCTCGAAAAAGGTTTGATGGTCAAATTAAAGCGTGCCATATGTGATCTTTTGCAGGATTTATGCTTGAAGAAAGCCAGGGAAGTTAATTTTCTACAGTGGATTCACAATTACAAAGATGCTTATCCTTCTTCTTCGAGTAATTACAAAACAAATAACCAATGTCGCCTATGCATCCCTTCTGACTTTTTAAAAAAGCAATGTCACCTTTGCATCCGTTTTGACTTTTTGAATGACCAATGTAACTTGTGCGTCCGCTATGGCTATTTAGAAAAATGTGATTATGTTACATTTGAGTCTTATTCCCCAGCAGTTGTTCAATCATTCTTGTGTTTTGAAAAAAATTCAGAGGAAGAAATTCAGTGTGTTTTGTTTGAGTTTTATGAATTAAGTTTTTTCAAAATTGAATTTTTTGGTTTTCGTGTTTTTTTGTTTTTAGTGAATATTTTTAAAATTTTAAACATTTTTTTATTTTATTTTTTTAGATGCACCTTACTTAAATGTATCTAAAAAGTAAAAAAATTGTGAAAAAATATTTTTAAAAAATTAATAAATACATAAAAACACAAAAAATGTACTGAATTTTCGTATTTTTTTTTTATTTTTGGTATTTAGTGAATTTTTAAAAGGTTTTTTTCACAATTTTTTTACTTTTTAGTATATTTATGTAAGATATGTCTAAAAAGTAAAAAAAAAAAAATTGCTTAAAATATTAAAAAAATTCAGTAAAAACAAAAAAATACGGCAAATAAGAAAGCAGAATTTTCTGAAAACTATTTTTGAAAAAATGAAATCAAGCAAGCTGATTGATTTTTTTAACAATCAGTTTCGTGATGTGTGCTCGTTTATTTGTTGGGCCTTCAAACTTCTTAGAGTGTTGGACTTAGAGTACAAGGATGCCTTCTTTTCAAGCAAAATAACACAACTTGTCAATTTGAGGTATTTGGCAATTAATTCGAAAGGTTGCTATGAATTACCGCCACCAATATCCAATCTCTCAAACCTAGAAACACTCGTTATTTTTACACATTGGCCTGAGATTATTCTGCCACATAATATTTGGAAGATTTCAAGCTTGAGGCATCTTTATGTTAAAGGAGGAGCAAAATTTTCCATTTCTTTATGTTCAGAAGAATCAGTAATGGATCACAACCATCCCCCTGTATTAGAAAACCTACAAATCATTGCAAACTTCAACCTTTGTGGACCAGTTTAGGATATATTGGCAAGGACTCCTTATCTTACAAAGCTAGGATTCTATGGAAATTTTCTATCAAATTCGGGGAATTTGATGTTTCCTAATCTAGAATTTTTAAGAAACCTTGAGACTTTGAAGACACACAACAAAATTTTCCCAAGATACCGAACTGCTCTCGGAGAGGTCACGTTTCCTTCACATATTAAAAGGCTAACCTTGAAATATACAGGGATAAAGTGGGAGGAGATGTCGATCCTTGGGATGTTGTTACCCAACCAAGAGCTTCTCAAATTAGAGAATAATACTGGCTGGGGACATCAATCGGCAACAACTGATGTAGGGGTTTCCTCGACTCAAATTCTTGAAACTGAAGAACCTTGGGGTTGAGTAATGGGTCACCTGCTCTAGTCACTTTCCAAGCCATCAACATTTATCGTTGGAATCATGTACAAATCTCAAGGAAATACTATATAGTTTGGGGGATATACTCATTTTAAAGATGATTGAGGTAGCCATTTGCCATTCCTCTGTTTACGAATTTGTCAGGAAAATTAAGAAAGATCAAGAGAGCATTGGAAACAATTGGTTGGATGTGCTGATTAGGAAATCTTGGTGGGACATTTCTAAAGGTATTTTTCATAGTTATGTTTAATCTTTTCTTTTCTCTATCACATTCTTTTCTCATTTTAGATTCAACCCCCATCAAATAAAGGAGACGTATCTTATATATATATTTGGTTTTTTGATGTTTTCTGCATCTTACGATTCACCATATATATTTTATGGTTTGATATTTGTAGAGGAACATCAATACCTATCATCATCAATATATAAATCTTAAGTTTAATATGTGTGGGTGTAGATTTTCGACCATACAACCAAAAGGAGGAGCTTAGTTGGAGAGCACCGACAGAATAGATTAAGCCCAACAACCTGCACAAGAAGATGAAAATCCGACGGTGGTTTGTCCACCTGGGGGCACTCTGACGATCAAGTCAGTAATCAATATCCCTCAAAGATAGCAAAAAGTACTCAAAACTCACTAGAAAAGAACTTACCTTAGACCCACGACGGTGCCTTGCTTTTATATCCAGCAGTGACCTGATCCCTTTAGAAGCCCCGCTTTAGTGGACTCAGGCTCAATGCTCATCTTGGACCCTCATCTAGGTACAGATAAACTCTTCTTGAGCCTTATCTTTATCCAAACTGAGATCCTCCTCTGTTCTAGGACTTTTGTCCCTTATCTGCTTATCTTGGATTCCGATATCTTCGCAGATAACCTCGGCCTAGCCGAGATCATCTCGGCAACATGACCAGGCCATGTGGAACCTCGGTTGACACTTTGGCATCACCTTTGCCACGTGCTATCATTCGCAAAATACTTCCCCATAACTGCGCCTAGGTTTTATTACCTCGACAACCTGAGGTGATGGAACCTACACCGTTTGTCAATATACCATGTCAGCTAAAATACACTCTTCTCTTCGACTGAGATCATGACTTGTCGGTTTTAGGTGACCAGGATTTAACTGACCACTTTATCAAGGATCAAGAACCAAGAATCATGTTTTTTAAGCATTTCAGCTGAGATCACTCCTTTAGCCGAGGTTATGGCCTCGCTAATTCAAGAATTTCAAGAGTTCTGACTGCGTGTGAGCGGTCACGCACAGTCTTTTCAACCGTTTCTTCCACCAGGAGTTTTCCATTCCAGCCGACCTTCAACTCTGGTTGGCTTGGAGAGAAGGACTCTATCATGCCTGATAGAGACTCCATGCCATTTCCCGTGGTTGCCTTCATTGGGTGTGGACTCCAATTCCCTCTAGACATCCTATTTAGGGAAGTCCTTCACTACTACAAACTTAACCCCATGCACCTAGCCATTAACTCATGTAGGGTTATCAATGGTATAATCGAACTAGCACGCCTAGAAAAAGCTAGGATTAAACTAGCCAACATCCAATTCTGTTACACAATGTCCGGCCTTAAGTTTGACAAAGGTTACACATATTACCTCAAGCCTAGGTCCACCGCCTACAAACTCATAGCCGACCTTCCTGACTCCAACAAGGGCGCTGGAGATGACTACTCGATTGTCTCGGGCAACTGGAATTTGCTCCTGATAACGATCTTCATCTCTTTCCTCTGCACCGAGCAGTGTTTAGAGAGGATGAGGGTAAGAATTGAGTCATCCCATAACTCTATCTCTGTTAAAACTTGTCAACTTATCTATATGTACTAATGTTTACTTGGCGCTTTTTGCAGTTCTTTCCCAACCATCAAAGGACTTCCGCCAGAGCACCTTCCCAAGCCCAAATTTGAAAAGGCTCTTGGGTTTTCCAATTGAGAAGCATAAAGCCCGCTGCTTCTCAATTATATCCCGACCTACAAGTCTGCTCTGCCCGATGTTCCTTGCCGAAGCAAGACCTCTCCATCTACCACAACTCCACCAG